CACCTCTCAGCCCTCCCTCTCCAAGTGTGTTCCTCTTAGGGGCCTTTGTACCACCCGAGGACCCACGCGTGGCTGGTTCCCCTTACTGTCCCATCTTCGCATGAATACACATCCCTTCCTTCCCACTCCACACCTGGCTATTCTGGAGCTGGCCATGATTCCGCCTTGCTTTACAGCAGTACAGATGAAAATGATGCCCAAAAAGTACAAAATAAAATCAGAATCCAATAAAACCAGAGACATCTATATACTAGATTCTAGAAAAATAGAATTTTCAGATTTGTTCTACCCATAAGCGGTGTCTAGTGCTACGAAACATTTAGCCCATACTTAACCTTTAGTTGTTGAACCTAAGGCTTAAAAGAACACTGCTTTTATGTAAATCAGCTTTAGTTGCCTTAAATTCTAAGGTAGCATTTCCCAAATTGTATTCTAAGGACTATCAGGGATGGTCTTGGAAAATAAAAGCAAATAAAAATTAAAATTGCCATCATTACTTAAAGATCCATGGTATGGGGTCCTTTAGTAAAGAGCTGTGTTGTTATTATTTAATATATTCTTTCCTAAATTTTCTGAACCCAGAATCCACATGACCTTTTTCCTATCTGCTTAGCCTCTCCCTGGATACAGCTTGGAAAATGCTGGTTGAAAACATTCCACCTTATAAACTGGGAAGACACTGTCAACTTGCAGAATCATCACTAATTTTAAAGGACAATCTTCTCTATGGCTCTCGTCTCATGCCAGCATTTCAGCATCTCATAACCAGCAGGGAAACAGCCCTTCACTGAGTGTGTCATGAATTTTTAAAACATGACATTCATAATCTGCCTATTCCTGGTTTGATGCTGTGCCAATTGTTCGTGTATAAACGTGTACTATGAAGGTTCAAATGAAAAAATACCACGGTTTCTTACACAGGTGTACTTTCCTCAACTTTTCATTGTAGAATATTTTAAATGTGCACAAAAACCAGTGTAACGAACGCCCAAGTATCCATCACCCATTTTAATAGGATTAAACCTCGCTGCACACTGCCCCCTCGTATTAGATTAGGTTGAAGCAAATCCCAGATATCACAAAGGTATTATTTTAAGAACTAAATGGCAGTTAATGTGACTAAGACCAAAGAAGCCATAACTCTCACCCCAACATTTATACAAACAGAAATATATACACACACAAAATGCACATCTATTAAAACAAATAATTCCAGGTGCTTTTGATTTGAGGCTGATGTCCCTGGATTCATAGGAATTCAGGCATAGGAAGGTGTGTCAATGGCTCTCTCTTGTGTTCTGTTTCTGCTGATAAGGGCTCACTGTAATACAAGATTTTTCCAGACCACGGGGACTAACATGGTGGCACACTTTTTGACTGTCAGATCAGTTTGATCCACACAAACCTGTCAACCAAAGCAGGTCAGCAGGCTAGAGCAGAGAAGGAAAAAATCAATAATAAGCCCCTGAATTTATCATGCAGCCGCAAGAATGAACACGGGCATGCAGAAGGAAATGGATACGTGAGGCCTCTTTGCTTTTCCTTTCTTCTTCTAGCGTTTTCTTTCATTTCCATCTGGCGTTCACTCCCTCATAGGATTCTATAACTGAGTTCAGAAAACTGTCCCTAATTTATAGTTTCTGTCCCACCTAATCCTTTTTCAAAAGGATTTGAGACAAAAGATAAGTCAACATTAAACCCAAGGGAAAAGTGCATTCTAAATTGCTTTTTTTCCCACCAGTCTTTAAATTCTGGTCACATCTGATAGCTACTAATAAACAAATAAACTTCTCTATAAAACTGGATTTTCCATCCTATGTAATAACCTGACATACACAAAGAACCCTACCGAGACTTTCTATAGGTTTTGACCTTGTCACCTTGAATATTCCTGCTGTTACACTTGGAGTTGAAAATGTTTGATCCTCACGTTGCCTCAACCTAACAGACCCTCCCAAACAGAAATATCCAGAATCTGTAGGTCTTCCTCCTCTACTTCTCAATAACTATCCCAAGGATACAGATACCAGATCTATAAATCAATAGGAAAAATAATAAAAACTAGCTTAATCATAGCTCCTGAATTTAAAATANATATCCTAATAGCTTTGTATGGCGACAGCTGGTTACTGGGCTTACCGTGGTGATCACATCATAAGGCATATCAATGTTGAATTACTAGTGGTATATCCCTGAAACTAATAGAATAATGTATGTAAATTATACTTCAAAAAAATAAACCAGTGAATCACACACGTGATTATTCCTTCCTAGGCTTCCCACCCCGTCCCGTTGACCTGCGAGCTTCTATCTCCACACCAGCACCACGTGGCCTCGGGTACTGTGGCTCTATTGGAAGTTTTGAAATTGGATAGCGTAAATCCTCCAGAATAAAGAGAAGCCCCATCGCTGGGCTTCTGGGGCCTGCGGGAGGGAGGTCCCAGCCGGGCTGTCCCCGGAGCCTCTCTCTCCGCGTGCCTTGCCGCACTCGGGGTCTATGCCGCCAGAGAGAAAGGAAGTCCTTCCCCTCAACCAGCCAGAACTGGCTTCCTTACCAAGATCCCCAGATACCACTGTGTCATCTCCGGTGGTTTCATGACCTCCTTCCCTGGGCACTTTTGGCAGTGACGGTGGGTGGGGCTCAGGGACTGGCAACAGCATCTGACAATGGGCCACAGCAACTCACATTGTAAGGCTGAATTTTCAGGCTATGGGTCATAATGCTGTTTGGGGGCCCTGTTCTCAGGTTGAACTGCCTGAACGTAAAAACAGCACTCTCTCTCTCTCTCTCTCTCTCTCTCTCTCTCTCTCCCCCTCCCTCCTTTCCTCCCTCTCTCTCTCTCCCTCTCTCCTTTCCTCCCTCTCTCCTTTCTGCAATGTGGAGTATCTTGAGAATACCTTGTGTTTGGTTAAATGACTTACTTACAAACAAAACCTTGCTACTGATGTATTTCTAAATAAGATAAAAGCCTGTGCTATATTGGTTTTCTGGATACGTTTCTGATAAAGAAAAGCCAGGCATTTATCCATGGTACCTGTTACTTTTAAAATTTTGCCAAAGCATAAAGCTCGAACGTATGATTGAGGATAGGACATGGGAGTTATCGGTTCCTGTCAACACAATATTGATTCTGTATGTCAGCATCCCCTCCACTCACCAGATGTAAAATTCCTTTTGTTTTATTTAATTAGGTCCATGTTTGAAGAAAACAAAAGCCTCTTTGCATAGATTGCAATAAGATGAAACTTGCATATGAGTACAGCTCTAATTAAAGGTGTCCAGGAAACCTAAGAACACACACATTACATTTTCTATATAACCTATATAAGATCTACCTATAGATATCCATATAGACTTATAAAACCTCATGGTAGATATTTCTACTTCTCACCCCGATTGCCAGTTTTTCTCTCCTTCCGGGCACATACCCTACTGAAGTCAAACATGGACATGTGACTTCCTTTGGCCAATTAAACATGAACAGAAATGACATATGTCACCGCCACGTGGAAGCACATAGAGGCAGTCTGCAGTTCCCTCTGCTCTCTTCCCCCACCAGGAAGGACCCTGAGGTTGTGTGATGGCTGTTATAAGTCAGCAGAGCCTCCATGAGCCTGGGTCCCTGAGTGTGGGACGTTGCAAATATTGTCCCAAATTCTCCTCGTCCCTAAACTCACAGCCAGACAGACTTGTCATCAAATCTCTCCCTCTGCCATCAAGAAACTAAAATGACCTCTAAAGAGATGTAATTAACGTCATTAAACAATTAGTAAATAATGTGTACATGTGAGTCTCTGCTCTGGTTTTTTCAATCACATTTCAGTTTTTAGGCTTATTATTTTTTCAATATTGTAAGTGAACAAATTTTGATGGTGAATCAACATAACAGCAAGGAATTTATTGTTCAGTGAAGTGTGAGGAACTTCAGATTCACTGTAAAGATGATACCAAGGAAAGCTGAAAACGTCTATTACATCCTAGTTTACCATAATGCACTTTTAAAGACCAAAGATTTAACTTTTAATTTGGGCTTTCTAATGGTTTAATGATTTTTTTCATTGTTCCTACAGAGTAAATATTCTGTCTAGCAAATCAATAGCTGCAGGACAAAAATGCTGTGTCACCATGAGAGTTTAGTTCCAGTTTCTTATCTCTACACATTGACAAAACTTGGACGTTATTCAAGAATTACGTGAAAATGTGTGTGTGTGTGTGTGTGTGTGTGTGTGTGTGTGTGTGCACAAACTTGCATCCATGACATAACACACAAACAAAGGCGACCTTTACAATGCGTTATACCACATCCAATGTGCACCACAGCTCTTCCAAAAGCAGCCAACAATCATTATCAAAGATGTCCAAAATGGGAAAACTGGGCCCTTTTTGAAAAGACACCTACGTGGCTTCTGGGGGAAAGGGCATGAGCAGGGGCTCAAAAAGCACAAGAGGAGAAGTACCGCCCCATCTTAAAAGCTAAACTTCCGTTGTGTCATTTCTACATACGAAACAGAAGCCAAGAAATCACTTCCATACAAATATATTCCAGTGCTGAACAGTATTGTGAATAGATCTTCAAGGAAGAAGTCAGAGACACCACGCAACTCACATACCCTTGAAAGGGTCAACACAGCATGAACTCAGTTTCCAAATATCAGTCCCCAGTGTCACTGAGGTCTCTCTAAGATGCAATGATCCTGCTTCCTTATTTCCAGGAGCAGAAATACAACCAGAATTTCCTTATAAAAGTAAAATGCTGGCTATCAGGTATAATGCAAGTGACTAATGTCTATCCATCCGTCAATTCACTGAAATTCTTCTGAATCGAGCCACGTAAACCAATATAAAACACCGATATCGCATTTGATCAGAAAATAACGGCCATCTTGAAGTACATCAGTTTTTATCATGATGAACGCATCATCAGAGACCCGACCGGTTGTCGGAACCAACCTGTGAGAAGGTGCACCCGGTGCCCTCAGCCTGGCAGCGCGGGGCCTACCTGAGATGAGTGAAACAGTGTCTTTCTCCCATGAGACGACGGCGATGTACGCCTCCACCGAGGAGGGGATAATGCACTTGAAGACCGCGACATTGCCTCTCATGGTTTTCTGGTCCTCCACACGGACTGTATAGGGCTCACGTAAAACTGGAAGGCAAGAAGAAAGGCCTGGTGACACAGTTCCCGGTGCATTCTGAGANTTGTTCAGCATCTTAGCTGTGGAGGGCACAGCATCACTGGCCCTCATATGTGGGATCTGAACCGGGGCCCTCTGGTGTCCCAAGCCAGTTCTTAAACAACGTGCCACTCGGCCAGCCCTAAAGGTGTTGTTTTAATGTGTGTTATTTATCACCTAGTTTGTGATACTCTGGAAACTAATAGTTACCATCTGAAAAAAAAAAGAGTCATGCGAAAGAAATTCATATTTGGTTGGAGGTGGCAGGAAGAAGGGAACATGCAAAGCAATGAGAGAAGACAGGCCCGCATTTAGACTCATCTACACAGAAGTGATGGATGTAGCCCGGGAAAAGGATGGGATGACCAATTGAGAAAGGAGAGATTGACAGAAGGAGGGGGTGCAGGCTGAGTTCTGGGGTCTACTGACATTTCTGAGCTGGAAGGAAAAGATAAGGAAAGAGATAGCGAAGAAATCATCAAAGAGGAGAAAGTCAACCAGGACATGTGGCGTTTGCCAACCAAAGAAAGGCAGCCGACAGAGGGGTCAGGTCAACTGTGTGGATTCTTCAAGGGGGCCAGCAAGAAATTGCATGGAGAGATAGCCTTGGTATCTGACATTGGAAAGTCATGGGTGACCTTGAAAATGTAAGTTTCAGTGGAATGTAGCAGGCATAGCCCAAATCAGGAGAGATTAGTAATAGTAGTGGGTACAGACTATTACTTTAATAAGTTTTCGGGGGGGGGAGGAGAGGGCCAGAAATAATGAAAACATGCAATAGTATGGAAGTTGACAAAGGGAAAGGTTTCAAAATTGGGGGACCTGAACACCCGTGTCAGAAGAAACACAGTGATCACTAGAGTTGATGGCAGAAGCAAGAGGAGAGGACTGATGAAATAAGGTCCTAGAAAACTCAGGGGAATTGTGACAAGAGCACTGTTTGGGGAGCAGCCTGGAAGGAAAAAGGAGCACGTCCTGGGAGGGAAAACGTGAACATAAATACAACGTTGGAGGGTGGAGGGGTAACGTGGGAGAGCTGGCTTCAAGCTCCGCAGTGTAGGAAGATAACATGAGGGCTGGAGAATAGATGCAGGAAGGGCTGAGAATGGGGGGCTTGAGGTCTCTGAGGAAGAGCTTGGCCAAGCCGCCTCCAACAACACAAAAGGGATCAGCAGAAATATCGAAAGGTCTGGAGAAATAGTGACAGGCAGTTCAAATCAACTGGCGTGAATGGTCCGTGTGCTGGTCCCTACCAACACTCATCAGGATGGAGGAGGGACATGAAGTGGTGGTGATGACCTGGGCTCCCGTCTGCTGGTGATGGGGCTACTGAGGAGGGAGGAAGTTGAGGACACCAGAAGTTTCACGGCCCTGTCCCAGGTGCCCAGTGGTAAAGCCTCAAAAGGTGGACAGTCGCTGGGACTTGCTTGGTGACTGTCTGGAGGTCTTGCCACCAGCTCACCTAGTGAGGGACTTTGCAGCCCAGAGCAAAGGAAGCAGCACCAAGCGCCCCATATGATCCATGACTGTCTCAGGCCTTGACCTTGATGTCATATTGACTTCTTATTCTTTATGCTTATAAATGTTTATATTTAAACCTTTATTTTAAGATTTATGTTTGTAAATCTTAAATCCCACTTTCTTATACTAAGGCATGTTGCCTGAGCAAATTTTGATTCGTGACCTCCGATTTTCAGCTTGATGACAATGACAATAGTCACACTATCATCATTATCACTGCCTGATATTATTTTGTGAATGATCCTGTCATTCCCTTCAACGTTCCTGCAATGAAAACTCACAGATGAACAAGAGAGCAGAAAATAGACCTGGGTCCAAATTCTATCCGACTTGGCTGACCATCTGTTTCCTGTCTCTGGAAAGAAGCAAACATCGTAGGAAGACAGGAGAGCAGGCAGAAGATCCCTAAGAGTGGGCGATAAAATGAAAGCATACTTACATTTCGGTGGAGCAAGGAAAGAACCTGAGTCAATGCGTTTGGGGATACTGAAATAATTCGGGGCGAGGTCTATCTAAGGCTGGGAATATATGGCTATTAGGCAATAACGTCCTTAAAATGGAGAGTGTCTCATTCACTTGCTTTCCCCAGTAGTTGGCACTGGGCATATCACAAAGGGACTGTTGGATGAGTGAAAACAATGGGCCACCATCCTGAGGAAACTAAATTCTACAGAGCAGCATTCACATGGAGGGTCTGGGCCTGCTCTCCTCAGAGANATCCTCGTCCAGGCTCAGTGGGTGAGCCCACCAGCTAGGCAGCCGCCATTCTTGCTGGCCACCATGTGACCTTTTCAGGGCGCCACCGTCAAGGGCAAAAAGATACTCCAGTGCTCTAACAAACAAAAAGTCTACAATTTTAGATGCAGTTTCATAAGTTAGTGGAGCACTGATCCCTATTTGAAACAGGCACAGCCACATACAAAGCCACACATACAGAGTCGATGCTCTGTGTTTACTGAGAGTATGTGTGCATGCACGCGTGTCTCCCCTTAGAGAACCAAGTAAAGTCAAGTCTCATCTCAGGCACAAAGGCTTAGCCATGGACCCAGGGCATCAGGAAGTGCTGTAACACGCCACTGAAGGTCTTGGCATATACGGATTTCCCTTGAGTTGTTCACCCGCCCACCTTCACTGCTGTATTTTAACAAGTGCTGCAGCATAACATTGTAGGGAGGTTTTAAAAATAAAATCATCTCATCCAAATCAAAAGAGACAGCTTTGGCTTTGGACTAATAAATATTGGCGATTTGGAACATCTATTTCCCTTAGAACAGCATCATGCTGTGAAAGTCAGCTGTGAAATCCCAGGCTGCCTCTGATTTCCGCCTCAAACTCTCTGCACTGTGGGGAGAAGTGAGTGTGAAATCGTACTTTGGAGCAGAAAGAAAATAGGAGAGTAAAAGCTCTTCCTAAAGCATGAAGAACAATGTGAAAGGAAATAGCACCACCATTTTGGTGGTGGAAAAGTTGCTTACTCAATATTCCAGAAATATTTATTAAGCTCCTACTATGTGTCAGGCATTATAGTATTATCCTTAAGGTCAACGGGAAGGGATGATTTTAAATAAAATTAAATAATTTTTATCCTAGATAGTCTATTTTGATTTCTCTCTAGTTGTGCAATATTGTTTCAAAAAACATTAAGCATNATCTGGATGTGGGAGGTCGCGTCTTACAAAAACCTAGGACAATAGGAAACAGCTCTCTGAGGGCCAAGGAAACAATTTCAGATGATAAAGAAAAAAAACTTTTAAAACTCAACAAAGGCACCTCTCCTGGAAACCCTGGAAAACTAGGTGACAGTTAACTCTTCGTCAGTGATTTTTTTAAGTGACAGTTGCAAAGCAGCTTGGGAAACAATTGTTCAGCGTCCCATCACTTAGGGAAGGATGCTGATTAGGAAGTCTGCCCAAACACCCCCAACAATAGGAGTAGCTCAGAGGGGACTTCCAGGAATGAGATGTCTGGGCTAGAGCCAGGGTAGTGCTGGGGTTCACTGCCCGCCCTATAACCCCAACTACCTGGGTTCAAATAAATCCAAGCCCGACCATTCTCACACAGTGGGCAAGTTAAATTCTCGCCATCTATAGTGGAGAGTCTGATGAAAATATCCACCACGCAGGGTCTCAATCAGTTCAGGTGGATGAATCGATTAGAATGGTGCCGGCCACGAACAAGTCTGGTAAAGCTGCATGTCTCCTAGACTGAAGGAGATATCAGGTCTAATCCAGATTGTCTCACTACAGCTCCACAAATACGGGTGCAAGCCTTCCTTCTCCAGAGTTCTACTTTTCTCAAATTTGAGATGAGGGGATTGGGAACAGGAAGGTCCTCTAGGTCTGAATTCTATAAATCTGTGATTTGCTAAGATAGCCCCAGAGAAACTTATTATTGTATCATCAAATCAGCTCTCTTAAAATTTCAGTCACTTTTTGGACAGTGATGTGTCAAGAAAACTGGTGTGAAATTAATTTCAAAAGAAATTAACATATCAACAAAGATAGGAGTAGTTTGTACAAGGAACTCTCCTCACGGGCAGAGGTAAATAATACCATATTGTTCTTAGTTTCCTTTCTCCTGCTCTTTTCTTTTTTCGGATTGAGTATTTTTTAGGGATTCCATTTTTTCTACTTTGTTGGCCTGTTAGCCATGACTCTCTGGTTTTCAGTGGTTGCTTTAGCTTTCATAGTATACACATCTATAGTTTATCACCATCTACATTCAGATGATATTATACAACTTCCCATGTAATAAAAGAACTCGAACCTATTATGCTTATGCATCTTTACTCCAGGACTTAATGCTATCGTTGCCACACATTTTTATTTATCCATATGTTATGACCCCCATGAGACATTGTTATCGTTTTGTTTAAACAGTCAACTATCTTTTAAAGGATTTTAAATAACAAAGAATATGATTTATTTATCCCATTTCCATTATTCTTCTTTGAGTAGATCCAAGATTCCATCAGGTGCCGTCTTTCTTCTGACTGTAGGACTTTTTTTTTTTTTTACCATTTCCAATAGCGCGAGTCAGCTGCTGATCAATTCTTTCAGCTTGTGTGGCTGAAAGAAGCCTGCATTTCACCTGTATTTTTCAAAGGTACTTGCACTGCATATGGTTTTCTAAATTTAAAGATTACTTTTCTTTCAGGACATTAAAGATATTGCTTCAGGTTTCTGACATTGATTCTGACAAGGAAGCTGGTGCCATCTTTACCTTTGTTACTCTGTGTGTAATGTGCCTTTTTTTTCTCTGCCTGCTTTTAACATTTTCTTTTTATCATCAGTCCTGAGCAATTTGATGATGAGGGGACTTGGTGAACTTTCTTCATAGAGCTTGTATTTGGGGTTTCCTTGAGGTCCTGGGATATGTGGGTTTATAGTTTTCATCAAATTGGGAACATTTTGGCCAGTAGTCCTTCCACTTTGGTTACATAATCCATTCC